GTGGGAGCATACCAGCCGGTTGAAAGAAAGCCTTGAGCGCAGGAAAGGGGGTGGGCTCATTGGTTTGGGATGGTGGAGTGATGTTGCATGGGTGCTGAAAGATAAGAGTAATGTGGAGGCGGGAGACGGTCAAGGTGCTATAACTGAAAGGGGTATGGATGTTCTGCTCAAGGCTATCAAAAATTTGTAGCCTCCAGGTGGTCTCTGCACCCCTCTTGATCATTTCACTTCTTTTGCGCAAGTATTTTCTCGATTGTTTCAAGCTCATTCCTGAATAATTTACCTCCGGGTGGTGGGTAATATCTTGACGCTATCTATTTTGTCCGTTTCTGGCGTTCCTAGTTTTATTTTCATATTTTATTATTAACCCCTCATTATACTTCCACCCTATCTTTATTCCCTGTGAGCTGCGTACGATTATCATCATAGACAAACGATAGAAATATTTTTTTTGTTTTATTCTCATTGAATATTTCAAGTGTTAACTGAGGTTTCTTGCACTTCACACATACTAGTATCTCGTCGCTTAGTCTTTTTTATTCCTAAGCACCCTCTGTGCCTTTCCAAGCGGATGCCTTGTACCCGACGATGTGTTCCACATACTCCTCCCCAGCACCGACCCACCCCTTAATCCCTCCCTCCAATACCAGACTCTGCATTCCTCCAGCACTTTCACCCTCTTTCTCCAGGATATAATCTGCAAACCAACCGCTTGTGCGGGTTCCGCGTCCGCGGGATGAACCTGAATGAATCAATGACAAACTCGAGAAAAAGTGAGAGGCTGGAGTGGAATGATAAATGATAACATATAAATAGATAAAATTAAAAGAAAAATGCAAGGGCCATACGAACCGCAATACCAGATGACCTTCTTAACACCGGCCTGCTTGAAGATCGAGTATACAGTGGGAATGGACGGGTAGAGGCTTTGGGCAGGGAGGTTTATGGATGTGGATATTGTGCCGCCCTGAATATATATATATATACATATTCATGTATCTGTTAAACTCTTTGTGGTTCAAGTTTGTTGAACAACCCCTTTTCCCTTCTTTTTCCTCCTGTAGAGTCGACCGTAGATCTCCCCCACTTGAATAGGAAGGCCTATATCAGGCTGGCTGGACCTCGCCTCACTCAATAGATCACATGAAAGACTCAAGTTCAGGAGAGACATGCGATCTCTCATCCTGTCTACATTGCGAAAATTCGGTACATCAAACATGAACAAAAGAGAAACGACAGTTAAAATCTACCAAACATACCTCATGGTCCGCCCTTCTCACATCAATCAGCACAAAGTCTACCAGCGAACTCTTTTTCGAGACATCCTTCAACCACCCAAGAACTTCTGAGCGTGAAATGGCTGCAGCTTTGGTCCTTGGTGCTGGGAATGCTTCATGCCAGGGGGTTTCTTGCGTTGGCGCTGGAGCTGGAGCTGCTACTGCTCCTGTTGTCATGGTCGAACGCGGGCAGATGCGAGATATATATATATTATTAAGGGAGTGAAGGTTGTTGGGTGGAGTATTCGACTTTTAATGGAAAGATCTTAAAAAGTCAAGAATCTAGCTTTTGGGCTCTAAGAGTGCAAAGGGAATTGCGGTGCTTATTGTTATTGTGTTGATATACGCCATTCCACTGCTGGATGTTGCGACAGGTTTATGTTAATTATTAGTGAGCGTTGTGAGCGTTGGACAAGGTTGTCATCACTGAGTTGTCATTGGCTGGCTGCTGGAGGTGTGAAAATGTTGGGGGTCCCGGGTTGATCGGCCCTTCTACCAGCAGTGCGCTGGTGGTGATGGAAGCTCTTTTGCTCTAGTAGCTTATAGAAAATACTAAACTTTGGTGAGATATGTATGGAGTATTGTATTCTAGCACGAATTTAAGGGGACTATGGACAGGCAATATTCTTCTTTGCTATATCTACTCCTCGAAACCAGGAATGCATGAGATAAAGCTCATTCGCAGAACTAGGATCTGGCAGGTTTCAACGGAGCGAAAAGGCAGTTTCTCGAAACTGGGTTGTCAAGATGCATGCTCCTAGGAAAATTAAGAAAAAAGAAATTACAAAATGGCAATTTCCACTAGCTACCCCCGTCAACAAAAATAATTCCATCGAGGTCACTAAACCCTCCAGTCGCAAAGAAAAATCGCATGACTTGCCTGAAAGGTAAAGAGAACAAAAAATATACTGGAAATTGAATAGCAATGTATGCGGCAACATGAAGTAAGACGATCGTCTCGTATGGGTCGGGTCACGACGACAGGCAGTTCTCATGCAAGAAACCGAATCGATCAATATTTTGAATTTGTACCCGGGGGTGGATCGCTTCGTAACAACATTCGTTCGTGCAGAGGGTCGCCTGCTCTTTATATGTCGACTTTCTCAGGTTGTGTCGGACCCGTCTTCACTTTCACTTTTGTAAGTCTCGACATGCCACAATGACTGCTCAAAAAAAGACCATTCGAGCTCAGAGCGGGGATAGGACGTGCCTTCAATCATCTCATTGGCGAGACCATTGGCAAACTCAGATTTAATGCGTGCGAAGCCGCCGTTACCCTTCCTACACGATGGAATTCTTTTTAATTTTTGGTTTTGGTATGGGTCTTGGTTTTTCATGGTTGGAGTCAAGTAGCCAGACAGAGAATAATAGCTCCTGCTTAAGAAATTTGACTTACTCCTGTTTGAACCCCACGTCAGCGCGCATCATGCCAGTCATGTCCACATCGTAATGGGTCTCGTTCTTGATTTTTCGGGCCTTAGTGGGAGTCTCCTCGACTTCAAGAGTGGCTGCGGCAATAGCGGCTTTGGTGGCCGCGTTCTTCCCGCGAGAGGATGATTTTGGGGTACGTTTGGTGACTTTGTTTGCCTTTGCTGGCGTAGTGGGATCCGTGCCATTGGCGTTGGGAGTCGAAGTAGACCCTGCCCCCCGAGTGGCTTCCAGCAACTTGCGCCTGGCTTTGCCGTAAAGGACGGAAGCACAGGCGGCATTTTTGAGGCCAGCCTTCTCAGCAAGCAGATCATAATTGACCTATTTGGCTCGAAGTAGTTGTGGTTAGAGAATAGCAATACCCGGAATGAATTGAAGGCAATCGACCAGGATCAGGTTCACCCGGTGTGCAGAGAGGTAATAGCATTTCGTGAAGAAATTTCCGGGTTAACAAATAGATGAGGATCAGCAAGAAGGAAAATGGTAATAAATACCTTGATGCCGGCTAAGCCATCGGTGGTACAAGTCATTGCGATAAAAAAGATGCGTTGCTCCCCAGCAGACAAGCCAGTTTCCAAGTTCTCCATTGTGGCTGTAGGTAGCGAGTGTTTGTTTTGGGGATGGAGGTTTTGTTCTTCGATGGTCTAAGCAAACTAAAAGAAGGGAAGGGTGGAAACAGAGTGTTTTGTGATTCCAAACTGAAAAAAGGAGGTTTATTACTGTTGTGCTGTAAAGAAGAAATGGAGGAGTCAAGGATGAAGTGAGATAGATGGTAAAGAGAAGTAGACAACAACACAAAGCCAACTTAGGTAAAGCCTTTGAGATTGTGGAGGAGAGAGGTCTAAGCTGCTGAGGTGTTGCTAACAGAAATAAATGAAGTAAGTCATTGACTTTAAGAAAGGTGAGGAGAAATCTGAGTTTGGGACTTGTGTTGTTTTTTGGGTGCAGTGAATGAAGTAAAGAAGTAAAGAAGTAGGTAGAAAGAAGGTAGCAGGGCTTGTATAAATTGCAAAAAGTATTGCTCCTTGATATGTCAAATTTAATAATACAAGTGAGAATGAATCGCATCAGCTACTCAACTCGCTCCACTGGGAGTATTCTGCTTGATTTTCGCAAATACCCCTTCCCATATTTCTGGGAAGTACTTTGAAGTTGGTTTCGAACTGAGACGTGTTTTAGCTGGTGCATAAAAATAAGTATTATTTCCTTTCCACCACTGCTGAGGGGTTGGATTGGTGTTAATTATATTAACTGGCCGGAGGGTTGAGCGCCCCAGTGTCAGGTCAGAAAGCGCCACCTCAGTTTTTCGAAAGTAAAAATTCAACTTCATGGTTTCAATATTCAATATCGCGTTTTGCGGTACATTTTTCAAATAGAATTGTGTGCGCTGTCGTGTCTGTCTGGCGGCATGGGGAAGCCTGAGGTAGATGAGGTTGACGAAGGGAGCTGTGGTGTAGAGGACGAATAGCATGGGAAAGGAACCGCCAATAACAACTGCATTTAATTAGAATAGGCCACTTTTACATATTCAAATACGACGAAGACCTACCGGCTGGAGCGATGTACCAGGGGAGGTCGCTGGAGTAATAGAAAGCTGGGGCGACAACCAGACAGGAAACGCCAAATATAAGGAGGGTGGTGATGCGCATCATACCAATGAAGGCTATCTTTCCCGTACCCGCGTGATAGATAAGAATTTCTTCAAGTTTTGTAGGTTCTATGGACATAAGCAAAAGAAACGATAATCAGGATATACAGGATGACCACAAGGAATATCTGGAAACAACAAACCATTTTTTGTTAATTTGCCCGGTGCTGTGCGAACCGGAGCTTGCAAAATCCGCCCTGAGGGTTTGGTGCTATTCTTCAGTGGTACCTTCGAAGAAGCCTCACCAACTGATGAATTGAAGCGAATGCATAGTTTGCTAAATATTCTCCTCTGGCCGCACTGAGCTCTGGGGCATTGGCGGAGCGGAAGGCGGAATAGCAGCCTCTGCATATTTTGGGGGGAAGGGATTGAATGGCAATTGGCGGGTCACATAAGCATTACTTTCCATGAAGCATAGGATATGGTAATTATCGATGTTTCCAAACTGTGGGAGTATGTTTCGGAGCAATCGGCGCGGGTTCATAGCTGTTCCTCCGCTTGAAGCTATTTCTTTCCCGTCCCCGTTCAGAGCGAATCGAGCGATGTCATGTGATTAACTTAGGCGCCAGAGTTTAATTTAAGCGCGTCAAAATCCGCTTTAAGCCTAGCTTGGGCTCCCCTGGCGGCTAAGCGCATGTCTCCAATTTAAAACATTGTCATCATCCGTCATCCACCACCTCCATTCTATCCTGACGACAACCTGAGCTGATATTGCTGCAAGCAGGGGAGTAACGACCGCCCCTACGTCTCCTGCCGTTTTTCTGTATCGACAATGCACGGAGCGTTGTTATGAGTGTTATGAGGTTTATGAAACCTCTCGAGAATGGCAGAAAGTATCCACCGGTTGGCCACTTCATGGCTAATCTTCCTGCTGGGAACAGTGTTTTTTGCCATTCCCGTACAGTCGTATGCAACACTGTCCGATGGCACATTAAAATCCATTCCACGTCCAAATAATGATTTCGACATTCACAACGGTGCCCTCCTTGCTCCCATCCTTAAACCACGTGTACCAGGAACTCCAGGTTCCCTAGAAGTGCTGCAACACTTCGTTGATTTCTTCAGAAATACGTTACCGGAGTGGACAATAGAATTCCAAAATTCCACGTCGAAAACACCAGTGACTGGAAACAAGGACATTCCTTTTGTCAACCTGATCGCCTATCGGGATCCGCCATGGTCAAATATTGGAGAGACAAGCAGGTTGACATTGGCGGCACATTATGACAGCAAACTAGAACCCGCTGGCTTTATAGGCGCTACAGACAGCGCCGCTCCATGCGCAATTATCATGCATTCCGTACGAAGTATCGACGCCGCATTGACTAAAAAGTGGGACGCTATGAAGGGCAACCCTTCCCACGAGTCACTCTTGGACCACCGAGGCATCCAAGTGTTGCTATTGGACGGCGAAGAAGCATTCGCCTCTTGGACTGATACGGATTCCCTTTACGGCTCTCGATCCTTGGCTGAGGCTATGGAAGAGACCTTTTACCCAGCAACCTCGACTTACAAATCCCCACTATCGGCTATCTCACTTTTCGTCCTTCTCGATCTACTGGGCGAGAAGGACCCCCGGATGCCGTCTTATTTCAAAACAACTCACTGGGCATATAAAAACATGGCTTCTCTCGAAACCCGTTTGCGCCAACTTGGCCAGTTCAAGTCAGCACCGTCATGGAAGAATGGCGACCAGCTGTGGTTCGTCGATTCGGAAAAGGAGACATTTTTCCCTAGCGGAATTGGCGATGATCATATCCCGTTTATGAAGCGCGGGGTCGAGATCTTGCATTTAATCACGTCGCCTTTCCCTAAGGTATGGCATAAAATTACAGACGACGCAAAGCATTTGGACCTCGAGACGGTTGAAGATTGGAGCACATTGCTTACAGCTTTCGTAGCTGAATGGCTGGAGTTGGAGGATATGCTTCCAAAACACGAAGGGTCAGTACCCGAGAATGAAAGCAGAAAAACAGAGCTTTAAGATATTTCCGTACTCGAACCTTTTTTTTTTTTTTTTTTTGCTCTTGTTAATCCATTTCCCTGAACTGGAATGTGTATTATATTGGGGCATTTTTGAGCGTTTATTATATTCTCTACCCATTACATGTTTGGATATACTCATCATCTAGAATTCCCTGTACAAATTTTTGCATGCAGGTGCAGATTCCTTCATTCGATTTTCTTGCTATGTCAGGAAACATAAGCTAATAGTCCTTCTCTAATAGTCCTTCTTAGGACATGAGATTTGCTATTTCTCTTTTAAGAAGCAAATTTTTATACCCCCGGCGGCGTGCAAACGCTGCCACATCTGCGGTTGGCCATACGTTTTACGTTCGTTGATTTTTTGCAAACCGAGCTGCACTATTACCTATATTCATTATTCACATTTCACCCATACTTTTTATTCTAGAATAGGCATGACACAGGAATCCTATTTCCTTTTGATAGAGATTGTATGGGCGGATTTCGACTTTTGAAGTATCGATTCTTGAAATTGTATGACCTGAAATCCGCTACATCATCATATTAGGTGTTCTGCATTCTTAATTCCTCATCGTCGAATTTATGTAATGTGAGAAATTGATTTGAAAAGTTCAACTCTCAAGACATCTCTGGGAAGCAATACTTAAAGCCGCCCAGATTAACATGTTCAATTGAGTTTTAGTTACTGCTTGCATGCACCCACGCTAGGAAATAATATTTTAATTTTGGACTACCTTAACTTCCAAGTCACAGCCCCTTTGCCGAAGGAAGCAAATAAAATGGGTCGCAAACTTGCGATATTTATATGCAACGAGAAAAACAAGCTCTGATTGGTCAGCTATCTGTGGTCCTCCCTCAGGAACATAGAACAGTAATTTACAAGCCCGACAGCGCGCCCAGCATATATCCTCCCATCCAGAACAGGCCCCATTTAGGCTGCAGCACGGTCCTGAGCAAACCGGGTCCAGGGCATACACCTTTCAACCCCCACCCAACCCCGAATGCGATGCCGCCTGCAATAAATCGCCAGTCAATATCCGCCAGCGTCGCCGTGGGTAGTTGAAACTTCTCCGCCAGCGTCGGTGGCTTCTTCCCCTTTTCATCTCCATACTCGGTTCTTAGCTTCATGTACGAGATGAGGTTGGGCACCACGGCGAACAACTTGACCAGACACAGGGACGGGTCGAACTTAGACCAGTCAAACCAGCTGAAGAAGCCGAGGACTTTTGCTGGATTAGCCATGCCGCTGATGAGGAGACCTAGGCCGAATTGGAGGCCGGCGATGTAGTTGTACATAGTCGTGGAGTTTTTGGATTTTGGCAGACGAGGGACGATGATGGAGTTCGTAAACTGGGCAAGCAGGACTGCTCCAAGCATGAATGCAGTCCGCTCAGGTGTTGGGTACGAGGGCAAATAACATGGCTGGCCACCCGGGCAGGCGGGGATGGTATTTCGAAGGTTTGAGGTGATCAGGGCGGTGATGAAGAATACGCTGGTTGCGATTGCGGACCGGGGAGAGAGCCTGGATAGACCGCAGAGCATGTGGCCGGAGGTGCATCCGCTTTCATTCTGTCGAATTTTCGGTGTTAGTATAAGATAGATCCACTGCTACCTACTTCCTTTTGGGCATCCCCGTTGCATTCATTTCATATTTTCTCTGCCGGTGTTGCAGTGAAAAAAGTATGTTATTTTTTTGAATTTATATATATATATATATATATATATATTTGGGCTTAGCACAAGTCGTGTAGGTTACATACCTTTGTGCCCCACCCTACTGCGAAGCCCGTTGTGAGAGTGGCCAGAGCAGCTTCCCATGTAGCTCCTAGAGGGGGATATGCTGGGAGTATAGAGGGCGCGAAGTAATAAATTGGGATGATGCTCGACACCAACCCTCCTATGATCGGCAGATTATCACGGCTGGGTTTCACAACGGACCCTGAGAGGAGAGACGAAATGCCAAAAATCCGGCCATTATGCTGTAGCAATCCTGAAGATCCTTGGTGGAGAAGGACAGCTCCAAGAGCGGTATCGACGGGGGTGAACATCTTTGCCCTTTGGTCTTATTATATCAATCGATGATGAGCTCAAAAATTGGCCGTCATTTCTTCAATGAAATGTGTTGGTTGGTTGCGGGGGAAACTCCTGGCACATATATATATATATATATATATATTGCAGGCAACGCGTCGGGGATCACTCTCGGGCATTCATTCGCTCGGGCTTTAGTGGATCTTGTGCAGCTATGGCTCGTAGGCTAGGCTAGAAGTCTGCATTAATGCAAATCGATTATATCGTCATAGGCTTGCCACCTCGTGAATCTATTTAATATAATGCCGTTTGTTTCGAATAAATAATAATAATGAAGCAAGTCATGGTTGTTGGCAATAAACTCCGCTGCGGTAGAAATTGAGCCATGGGACACGAACAATTCTTCCAAAGTCCACCAGCGCTGGCTGAGTCGTGAGAGGCAAAACCTTGGACAAGCAGACGCAGGACATGAGCTGGATCACATCTCGATCAGTCATATACCAGATTACCTACTCGGCGTAGTAGAATAACTGAGAAGAAGTTCCTCCTAGGGGAAGCTCTATCTCATTGCTCTCTCTCATCTTCAGCTGTGGCAAAACAATTCGAACGGGAACCTTACAGGCGGGCGTTAGTTAAAAGAAGTCAACCGAGACAAGCTAAACGCTCTGTTCTCTATGATTTGGTCTCCAGAGTGTACAGAATTAGGACTTAAAACATAAGAACTCAGACTCCAAAGACTTCAATCAATCGTAGGAGGCATTGACTATAAATATGAATGCTATATTTATTTCACCGTTATCTTCTTTAATATTATTCCATGATCGAGCTTCAATCCCATTTCTAGTTTGTGTTTGCGCCTGTAAGGACAACACAACGGAGACGCAATAGAGCGAGCACCTTGCTAGCTAGGTAAGTGAACAATGCCAGTAGCGTTGATCTTTCTACTCCTACAGGTTATGAAGCCCTTTTAACCGCTGATTAACGTGCCAATTGCGTCGCCGCGTCTTATTATGTGCTTAGACGTCTTACTATTTAAACCTCCTGGTCAATTTGCGATCGGGCAAAGCACCCGATTTCCAGAAGTGCAAGGAAGCAAGGTTGCGAACACCCGCGACCAAATCGAAAGTTGAAATCGAAATCGTTTGCGGCATTCAAACCTGACGATACGATCGGTACCAAGATGTCAGATAACTAAGATTAAAAATGATCGCGCGAGCGAGGAAACGCGTATGAGATTGGAGATTGCGAGACTCTAACATGAACTTGAAATAGTAAGTTAGGGGTAGTTAATCAAACCCGTAACTACTGACGAAGACATCAGCTCTGATCTGGCGGCATATTTGCAAAAGAAGGGTCGGACTCCCGCGATAACTAATGAAGATCCTTAGGGCCTGTTGAGTGCGGCCGTGTGTACTGTAGTTACTCGTTCTTTTTGTACAGATCTCCACTGTTTTACGGGTGCTTAATAAGCTTCCCGTCCAAAATCTTGCGCAGATCATCATATACACAGATCATCATCATAGCCCATATATTTTCTTTTTGGATATGGGAATTAGTTCTCCTCGGGAATGTTTTCGATACGCTCTGGCCATATCCCCCATGTCCCTCATGTCCCGTCGTCCCCTTGCGTTCAATCACGCCATCGGCTTATCCTCATAATCTCATCACCTAAGATGAGGAGACGAGAGAGAACCTCTTGAAAAGACTTTTCCTTCAAGCTCGAGGCAGCGCCCGACCATCTGTCTTGTCTGTGGTTCTCCGAAACATGTTGGGATTCAGGCCTCTGGTGCGAATTTTCGGGGAACCGAGATGGGGAAAGCGTGTTGCTCAGGGTTGGGGGTCATTGAATGTCCATTGGGGGCTGCAGATATTCCGAATCACAAAAATACGACCTGCATCCCTGCTCTCGCAACGCGAACCATCCATCCCATTCAGACTGACTGGTTTTTGACCCCGCTCGTTGCGGGCAAAATTCTTTCTGGAATTGAAATCCAAGATGAGAAGAGGTTGGAAATCGCACAAATACGGAGGAACTACATCAGGTATTTAGAAAGATGCAACCTTTTAATCTTCTCGTAGCTTACGCACGGTAAATTTTCTTCATGGTGTGTGTGTTGAAAGTGTCTGAATTGACTTTGCCGAGTTAGTAGTATTTCCAATCGAGCGCAAAGTCGCTCAGAAGCTTAGCAGCAGCCATCGGCATTAGCTTAGCGCCCTTCCCTCAGAAGTGAGTCATAGCTGCAAATTCTCCGCCTGGTTAGAGTGAAGCATAAGATTGGCAAAGTCTGGAAGATGTTCCACACAAGCTACTAACCCCTGACTTCAGTATGGGTGAAGAGATCACAGTGATTCAAGCCTGAGAAAAGACGGTTCGGTCCGGTCTACGCCGTCCGAATAACAACTGTTGGCAAGGAATCCGCAATTATCCTGGCAACCCGAAAAATCGCGGCGTCTGTGGGAAACAAAACCACCATTTTTCAAATCGCGACAGCGAAAGCGGACAAATTTACTGGGCAACGATCAATCAGCTGCTATCGGCCCGTCCGGGGTCGCCTCCAAGATGTTGGATAAACACGAGCTCGTGTGCGGGTGGTGTGGTGCAGCGCCAGTTCCGGGAATAGCCATGCCTGGTTAAGCTAAGTTAGTTAAAGGGACCGATGTTAGGGCCTCCAAGTGACCCACACAAGGTTGGTAAACTTCACCCCCCTACGAATAATGGATTATAACTACCCATCGCCAACACTTCAAGGAGTGAAAAATACATTCATGAAAGAGGAACCAGTGACTCGGTTTAATTTCTGTTCAACGGGTAGCTCTCGTTCACCTATGTTTCTTTTCTCTCTTTCAACGAGGCATTGCCAGTAACCGGCGCCACTCGGTACTGATTTTGTACAGTATATGTCCGTACATATCTTACTTAGCCTTGCTGTCGGCTTCTCCATCCCATCCCCCCGGCAAAATTCTCGAGCCCCCACCACTGCCATTCTCCTGGCACGCAGAACCCCATAGTTGTAAGGCTCCACTTTGCCTGCGACGCTTGCTGCTGGTTGCTATAAAAACTTCTCGCATCTGCAGGTACATTCACATAACATCTCTTTCTTTCTTTTTTTTTTTTTTTTTTTTTTTTTTTTTTTTTTTTTTTCCAAATTGCTGCCAAAATTTTCTCGACAAATATTCAAGGCACGCCGGCCCAATGCTCTTTCCATCTGTTTGATTGGGTAAATTTTGATTACGGCTTTCGTTAAACCATAGGGGTATTATAGGAGAGTAAATTGACTGAAAAAGGGGCATCGGTGAAAGAAAAGGGCCGGCTTCCTTAATAAATCATACTGGCCATCATGATCGAGGAGCACACTGCTTCTCTTCTTATAGGAACTTCTGGCCTTATTGTCGTTGCTCTCTGTACAATTTCTGGCCTGTTGGCAATATTATCCCGGTTATCTCTTCGAAGTCGAGTCGGATATATCGCTCTCCAGGAAATATATCAGGATCGAGATGGAGCTGCTACGGAAGAGTCCATCCAAAGATTTTCACAGAAAGCGTACTATGTGTCGATCATATGTTTTTCGATTATTGGCCTCCTAGTATCTTTGGCACAGGCTGTCTTGTCAACTATTTCGGAGGACCGTTTACGCACGATTGAGCCATGGCTTCAGCTTTCTATATGGGTATGAATGCCTTATATTTTCCAGTCATTCTTCGACACGTCCCACACTGACTTGGAGTTCTAGGTTTTGGTCGTACTGAATTCCATTGCACTTCTTGTTGAGCCATCTCCAACCAAAAAGTTTACTATCGGGCTCTATATATCGACGTCAACCCTCCTCTATATAGTACTTATCACTATGCAGACATTTTTTATTTATCCCAACTCCAATTATCTCGATCTGAGCGACGCCCGCGGCGCTCTGGTATTGGTGCAGCTTGTGATTGCCTTCATCTGTGCTTGCGTCTCCGTCCTTCTCCCCCGTCGGCCAGATGTTTTCAGAAATGGAAAAGTTGTGGATGCCCAGTATACAACATCTTGGATTGGCCGTTTAACTTTTAGCTGGCCAAGTGGATTGCTCAAAGAGATACGGCGAACTAAAACACTAGATGTTGAATATCTTCCTCAGCTAGATTATCCAACTCGCGCCAAATCTCTTCTCGAAGCGTTTGATAAGACAAAGAACAAGTCCCCCCGTCTCTGGAAGGTGTTGATACGCGTTTATCTTTCACCTCTGCTTGTACAATTTGTGTTGGTCGTTATATCCGCTCTCCTGAGCTTTGCCCCCCAGATTTGCCTACTTCAAATTCTTCGTGCGCTAGAGGCACGTAGTCGTGGCGAGTGGAATTCGTCCGAAGCTTGGTGGTTGGTTTTTGCGCTAGGGATGTCGACATTGGTTTTTTCCACAATTGAGTCCTGGCTTTATTGGGTCTCGTTCGCGAAGCTGTGCATCCCTGTCTATGAACAAGTAGCCGCTGTAGTATTTACGAAATCTATGCGTCGGAAGAACGTGAAAGGCTCACAAGCCTCGAGCAGCCCGGACGATCAGGGCTCAAACCAAAACGGCAATCAGACATTGAAAGATGACGCTGATGCTGAAGATGATAACCAGAAGACTAACCAAGGCACTATCAACCTTGTTGCTGTTGACGCAAAACGAATTTCCGATTTTGCCGCTTACAATTATTTCATTCCCTCGACCACTATTAAACTTACCGTCGCCTTTACAATTTTGGGGCTGCTGATAGGTTGGAAAAGTCTTTGCTCAGGGCTTCTGGTCTCTGTTGTGGTGACTCCAGTCAACATTTTCGTCGCAAGCAAATATTCAGGTAGCCAAATTTCTTTGATGAAATTCCGTGACCAAAAAATGGTCGTCATAACCGAAGTTCTCCAGGGAATCCGTCAAATTAAGTTCTCGGCACTTGAGAACCAATGGCAACGTAAAATTGGAGATATACGGAAGGCAGAACTAAATGCACAGTGGGCGGTGTTTCGCTATGACATCGTCCTCATCGGTATTTGGATCATGGGTCCAGTGATGCTTTCCGCCGTTTCCCTAGGAGTTTATTATAAGTTAAATGGCGAATTAGCCGCATCGGTTGCCTTCACCACCGTGTCCATCTTCTCGTCCCTGGAGCTGACGCTTGCCATACTCCCTGAGCTAATAACGGATTTCATCGAGGCTTGGGTGAGCGCTGGAAGAATTGAAAAATTCTTGACCTCTGCTGAGAAAGGCCACAATACACTTCCCTCCGATCATATTTGCTTTGAGAAGGCCACCATTGCTTGGCCGGTAGAAGATGCCGACGAAACCGATGGCAGATTCAGCCTCCAAGATATCAGCTTAAGCTTCCCACCCAAAGGCCTCAGTGTTATTTCTGGTAAAACGGGCTCTGGTAAAAGCTTGCTCATCGCGTCTATCCTGGGCGAATCTGACATACTGAGTGGCGCCGTTCGCGTCCCAGAAGCTCCGCCCCTTGAAGATAGATTTAACGACAACGCGAACAAAGAGAACTGGATTATCGACTCAGCAATTGCCTACGTGGCTCAAATACCGTGGATCGAAAATGCGACAATTAAGGATAATATTCTTTTTGGACTTCCGCTTGACTCAGAGCGATATCATAAAGTTTTATTCGCGTGCGCTTTGGAGAAAGATCTTGATATGTTACCTGATGGGGAACTCACTGACATTGGCGCCAATGGGATAAATCTCAGTGGAGGCCAGAAATGGCGGATATCATTTGCACGCGCCCTTTATTCTCGCGCCGGTATTCTTATCATGGATGACTTGTTTAGTGCGTTGGATGCCCACACAGGCCGGCATCTCCATGTACATGCCCTAACAGGAGAACTTGGCCGAGGAAGGACGCGTATACTCGTTACCCATCATGTGGCACTGTGCCTTGGCGAAACGGATTACTCTGTATATCTTCAAAATGACACCGTTGGACACGCGGGTACTGTGGACGAGCTGAGGAGAACTGGAGAGCTAACAGAAATTCTAGCTGACAAGGCTAATGAGGCAGCAAGACAAAGTGATGAAGTTGAGGAAAATATAGACGGACTTGGTGAAGGGGAAGATGGCCTACACAAAGTTTTATCCCGTGGACCGCAGGCACACACCAACGCAGTGACAAGTGACGCTGCTGTTAAAAGCAATAAGGTCCCGGCTAAGTTCCAGCAAGACGAATGGCGTGAAACCGGCTCCGTTAAAGTGGCTCATTATAAAACCTACTTTCAGAGTGGAGGGAACATATGGTATTGGCTTTTCGTTGCATTCGCATTTTTGGCTTACATTATAATGACAGTTGGACGTGTATGTCGCAGTCTCTACTTATTTGATTCCTTGAAATTTACGTATCTTTTGCTAACTTATTCCTAGTCATGGTGGATAAGCATTTGGACTCGATCGTCAAGCGCTTCCACAACGGAAGGAAACCTCTCTGTAATGACGCATATCGTGAAGAGGAGCGAACCGGCATCGCCAAATGCTTCCCTTTTGTATTATTTGGGGATATATGTTGGGCTATCCCTTATAACATGTGTTCTAGGCCCTTTGAGATACGGCCTTTTCTTCAATGCCTCTATTAACGCCTCTCGTAACCTATTTGATCGGCTTACCTATGCCGTGTTGAGAGCACCACTTCGTTGGCTTGACACGATACCTGTTGGACGGATCCTAAATCGTTTCACAGCGGATTTCAACATGATCGATTCTCGGCTAGGTAGTGATTTTGGTTCAATGCTTTACCACGTCCTTCAAGTACTTGGAATTATGGCAGCCGGATTACTCGTCTCGCCTATTCTTATATTGTTCGCCATGGTTCTTCTTGCGATCAGTTTGTATTATTCACTCTACTACCTCGATGGCGCTCGGGAGATCAAACGCTTGGAGAGCACAGTAAAGAGCCCAGTATACGAACAATTCGGAACTGCCCTGACCGGATTGACAACTATCCGTGCCTTTGGAAAAGTTCCAACGTACATTAATCGAATGTTCACGAAGATTGATCGTCACGCTCAAGCCTACTGGCACTTATGGCTCTTCAACAGATGGCTTGGTTTCCGCATGAGTACTATTGGGTCCATTTTTGCTGTTATTACTGCAGC